CGTCTTCTCTCCCCACAATCAAGCCGGATCATTTCCAAAGTGCCACCTTGCCCCTGCCTCCCCTCCTCATTTTCCTATAAAACTCAAGGGAAAAACCAAAATCAAAGGCCATAAAGTCTATCCACAAAGGCTGCTTGTGGTGGGTGTGAGGGTAATGCTGCTTTCCAGTAAGCAAGGGGTTAACTTTGCCTTCCTTTCCCTCCCCCAGTTGCATGAGCACTCTAGGGAAGAGCAGAAGGAGAGGAATCCTGAATGGCACACGGGTACAGGGCTGGGAAACCCAGCTGGGGAGGGGTGTTTTTGTTCTGGCTGGGATGTTTGTAAAACGGATTGATTGACTTGATTGCACTGGGTCCCACCAGCAGTTACCCTGCCAAAGGAGCCACTATCAGTAACAACAATACAGGCAGCCCAGGAAGGGGCAGGAAGGGCTCTCCGTGAGGATATCTATTCAGACAGGGTCTGCATTGCAAGGGAAAAATCTAACTCTGCTCCCGCCCTAGGGCAATGTTACAACCAGTTGTTATTGTTACTAGTAGTGAATCCATTTTCCTAGTGCCTTTCATTCGAGGATCTCCATGCACTGCCCAGACAGTGAACCTATGCACCACTTAAGCCCTGCAAATAGGATTTAAGCAGTGTCTAGCCCTCTGCACAGGGTTGCATTTCACCCACAGGGAGGTAAGAGGCTTGTCTAGTCACGCAGTGGGTCAGCAGTAGAGCTGGTCAGAGAACCCTGAAGCCCCAGTTACAGAAGTCCCTAGACAACATGCCAGGGAACACTGGACTACAGAGATTGGCACTGAATGGTTACTGGAAGATCCTTTTTGGGCTCCTCCCCACTGAGACGCAAGGCATCAGAGCTCAGTCAAGGAAGGTCTCATGGCGCAGTGACCACCACACTAGGATTGCAAAGGAATCTGGTAACAGTTCAAACCGTACTGTGCCTCAGCTGCGTTTCCCCTGACTGCAGTTTGGAATGGTTTTTACCCAACTGATTACATATACAGATCAAAGGCAGTTTAACACTGGCAATGACTCCAAGATTCCTTGTTTGTCTAGCTACAGAGCAAAAGGGGAGGCCCACTATGTCAAGGCAGATTCATTGCAGTCCTGTTGGACCAACACAAGCACAGAGAGTCCAGAAGGCTGGATAGAACATCTCTAGGAAGATGAAGGGATGGACTTGGAGAGAAATCTTTCGCCACGGAGTCTTAAACTGGTTGCAGTCTGTAGAAGAGCTGTACAAGTCTGTACAGGAGTTGGAGACACTATCTGGACACACAGTAAGAGAGGAAGGATGGTCTAGTGGTTAGGGCACTAATCTAGAACTTGGTAGATCTGGGTTCAATGCCCCTGCTCTGCCACCGATTTCCCATGTGATCTTGGACAAGTAACTTAGCTGTTCTATGCCTCAGTTTCCCTAACTGTAAAATGAGAATAATAGCACTGTCCTACCCCACTGGGGTGTTGTGAGGGTAACAACATTAAAGACTGAGGTGCTCAAACCTCAGAGGGTCATTGGGAACTGAGTGCCTTGCTCCTTTGATCTCACCATTTAGATTTTTTTAAAACGTCCCTTCTCTCCAATTTCCAGCACACCATCAACAGCAAGGCCGCCTCTTTAAAATTCTGCTACTGTTGGCATGTTTCTGAGGGACATGGCATACAGCAAAGGCTGCAGTTGTTTGCCTACTGTAAAAACACCACACTGACTTAATTCCCAGCAGGGTCCCATGCAAATCAGCTTTTTGATCATTGGTGTGGAGGCATAGATGTATCTTTAATCCTCTCCTATTTAATTAGACAATAAACTGGGTCAAGGACAACAGCAGAACTAATTGCAAAGGAGTAGCTATCTGCATTGCAACAGACATGTATGCAGTGTTGTTGTAGCTGTGTCAACATGACATATATGAGCATCTGCATACTTGATACAACACTCCAACAAAAACAGAGCTAGTAGCAGGTGTGATCGGAGGAGACCAAGTCAGTGACTGGACTTCAGATCAACAGGTATGTCAAGAAAGATTTCTCTGCAACAGTCATACAGCTACATACTTTGGCATATCTTTGATGTCTGGCTGTCCCAACAGGAAACCCTGATAAAGCAATTTAGCAGAAAGTTATCTGATATTGAGTGGCTTAATTTTTTTTTGCCAGTGAATGTCTTTGGATATAAAAGAACCAGACTTTACACTTCTCTGCAGAGAAGTCGATCACCAAACCAGACTTTAAGAAACCAATTTTTACAATGACAGGTTTCAGAGTAACAG